GGTTTTTACTTTCTACTTTTACTGCATGTGAAAAGAGTTTCATTGTACTCTAAAGGAGATAACCTGCAGCAGAAATATCAAATTAAATTAGTGTTGGGTCAAAATTGTAATTGGTTTGCGAAGAGGACACTCATTTATGTGTTATTAATCATGTCAACGGTAGGTTTTATATGATGACATTTTGCTCATATTCAGCAGAAGTAATCGTCCATGGTGGATGGACATAAATGAGATAATAAGTCAGAATTTCTGCAGCACTGATACCATTGTACCATTGCTTTGCCACTTTATGTGAGAGCTGACTAATAAAAGTCTGGGTCTTTTCTATCAGATGTTGCTTTTTTTAGTGAGCTGCCTAGAGAGTACACATCTTGCCAGAGATTTCTTTTTCCCATGCAGAAAGAAGTGGATGCTTAATGTTAAAGAAGAATAGTTTTTGTTATGATGTAAGGATATCATTATATTCTAACCAGTGACCTTTTCTTTGATGCAGACATGTTGCTGTTATATCTGAAGGCCCGGACACACCAAGCTGACACCAAAGAACTGACACAGAAGGACCCCGACTGTTGCGTCGCCTCGCGTCTCTGCGTTTTGGCCATGTGTCGCACTGGAACACACCGCAAAGACTTCAGCCGACGGCCAAGAAGCACGTACGAACTGCGCATCAACAGAGATTCAGGCCCTGTTGCAAAAACAGGCTGTGTCTGTTGTGCACTTTCAGGAGAGAGAAAAGGGGCTTTACTCCATGTACTTCCTGGTTCCCAAGAAGACAGGAGAATGCAGACCCATTCTGGATCTTCGCAGCCTGAATCAGCACATTGCCTGCAAAAAGTTCCATATGTAAACCAATTACTGGAACTAGGGCAGCCGGGCGATTGGTTCACAACCATCGACCTGAAGGACGCTTACTTTCATGTCGAAAATTGCTCCAAAGCACAGAAAGTATTTGCGTTTTGCCTTCCAGGGGGGTAGCCTACGAGTACAACAGACTACCGTTTGGCTACTCCCTATCCCAACGCACGTTCAGCAAATGTGTGGCCACAGCGTTTCAGCCGCTTCTCGACTATGGCATGAGGGTTTTGTAATACGACCTCATGGTCATGGCCAGGTCCAGGGAAGAGGCAAACACAGCCCAATTGATCCGGTCAATTGGAAGAAGAGCAGTCCCATACCTCACCAGCAGGTGGGGTATCTGGGGATTTTTGTTCGATGCAGGCAGACTACGTGCCACCCTGTCAGAGAGCAGACAGGGCTGGAGGACTCTTTTTTCCCCACTATCGTCCATGCACACTCTACACGAGGCGTGTGTGAGTGTGGGGGCCATGGTGCACTTAGAAAGAATAGGGAGGGATGAAACCCTCTTTAATGGTCACACATGCAGAGCACACAGCACACACAGTGAAATTTGGCCTCTGCTTTTAACCCATCCTAGTACAAGGAGTCTAGTACTAGGAGCAGTGGGCAGCTATTGTACAGCGCCCGGGGAGCAATGGGAGTGGGGGGGAAGGGGGGTGTCCGGTGCCTTGCTCAAGGGCACCACGGCAGGGCAGGAGGTGAACTGGGACCTCTCCAAGTAGAAGTCCACACTCCATATTTAGGTCTGGTCGGGGACTTGAACCAGCGACGCTGGTCAGGAGGCGTGGCCGCCTTATATATGGTGGGCTTGCACACGCATTCAGGTAGGCCCGCCCCGAGGGCTACGTTTATAGATATCTCAGTAGGTGAATGCTCGCATAGTATGGTTAAGAGGTAGTACCCATAGAGTCCAGTAGAGGGCTCCGCCTATGCTTATATAACTAGGGTTACAATACATACGTAACCCCCCGTTTCTAGCTCCAAAGACCCTCCAGCCATTTAGTCAAAGTAAAATGTAAAAAGAAAAACGGCAATACACTCGCTTTTCTGTTTAATGGTTTAAGGAAGAAAAACAATTGAAACAAAGGTACCAGGACTTACTTGAAAGCAAAACCTTTTTCTTAACTCTGCTCTGAGGGCACTTTTCAAGCAATAATGACTCCCACCAGGTTTGTTTAATGAGCCAGTTTTTTAAATGTTGGATTTAGCTCTGTTACACATACTCATTGTGATAACGTGACCTTTCATCTTGAGTCTGAGTCATGGCTTACTAGCCTCACTTTTTCACAAAGCTTACTGCTGTGCGAAATAGCACATGAGCCAATTTGGATAGGTTGGTGGTAAATGAAACAATCAGGCGTCTCTTTGCACTCTACAGAGAAGTACTCAGCCTCCCACCCCTCTGAAAACTGGCTGCCTTCAGCATCAGCCCTCCACTCTACAGCCATTAGCCTCTGCTTTGTAGTTGCCAGAACGTCCAAAATAGTCAGGTTGTTTGTGCTGGAGTACGTTGTGAGCTGACTACTACTGTAGAGGGTCCAGAGAGAATTGGTTTGGAACATGGCAAATTATTTCTTTTTGAATTTAGGTTTGTTTTTTTTGTATCAGAAACAAGCTGGGCAACCCAACTTTTCCTGAAAGGCAAAACGCAACACCAATTAATCAAGTGTCATTTCATTTGTGAAGTGTCCTTTCATTTGATATTGCCATGCACAGAGAAAGATGTATGATGTAACAGTTCAAATCATGAAATGTTACATTGGCAATTCAACTGCAGTCGACAAAATTGTGTTTTCAGGGACAAAGTGTAGTGTAGTGGTTGAAGTAGTGACTTTATTATTCAGAGGAAAAGGGTTTTGGAATTGAACCCATTTATCTCAATTAACGTGAAGTGGTCACTTATAACTCTCATTCAGTTCCATACAAAAACAACCACTATGACAAACATTACTCGGTAGTATGTCTCTTCCACAACAGTTATTATAATTTGGCAATAACATGGAAAATAACTGTTGTATAAAAGATAATTAATTTCCTTTAATCAGTTTGAAACACAGTTTTAAAGAAATGAAACTCTAGAGTCTAGAAGATAGAAATGAAACTCTCTAGAAGAAGTCTGATAAAATATATTGCATGTATTATGCTGTAATAGCTGTGGGTTACAACATTGCATATATTACTGTTGACATCAATGACAATCAACATTTGTTGATCCATTCAACAAATCAGATACTCCTTGAAGGTCGGCTTGAACTTCGCTTAATGATAAACGTCTCATTTGTCAATATTCACCTCTTTAAAGGTGGGGTAGGTAATTTTGGAGAAACCAGCTCGAGATCGCTAGAATTTGAAAATACACAGCCGGAAGAAATCTGCCACTTCCTTAGAGAGCCCCTCCTCCAACACACACGAACGTGCACATGACCAATGAGGGCACGAGATAAGTTTGTGCACAGATGGAAGGCTGACAGGCAGGTAGGCCATCCAGTTATTTTAGCAGGGCCGGCTAAAATGATTGGTCGTGCTTTTTACAGCATTTTTTTATGGATTTTTTTGTCAAAACACTTAAGATATTCATTGCTATCGGGATGTTAAGAGCATTCAATGAAATATAACAAAAAGTGTATTTCGAGCCGGTTTCTCAAACTTACCTACCCCACCTTTAACCATTAAGTCTTTAAAATATGAAGTACAACAGTCTAAGTATAGTTTGGGAATATTTCACTTAACTTGACTATCCTGCCACAGCACCAGTGAAGAGGTAAAGATCGGCAGCTTTCTGAAGTCTGCAGTGTTCAGATATGTATAGGCCTATGAATTTTAAAGTATCCTTGCACTTGTTTAATATTACAGTTCTCATGTGAAATTTACAACGTTGTCCACAAGCTACCAGCTTAAGGTCATGGGCTGGCAAACATCTAATGAGTGTGGTTACATCAGAGCAGCAATACAAAATGAAAAAAGATTGACAGTTGTTAAGATTGTGGCTGGTCTTTAAACCACAAAAAGCTCCTTCCAAGACACAAAGCAAGTGAACTAAAACTGTAATCCATCAGAAATGATGCAGGGAAAGGAAATGAGGAAAATGATGAAAACAAAAGCTGCGTTTGTTTTCCTTTAGAGAATAAACCGCCCTGAGCAACATTCCCACTGTCTGGCTCCAAGCTCAACAAACTCCAGTGAAGCAAACATTAGCCCAACTGTCTGCAGCAACTATCCAGCAACACTGAAGCTTTAGCAACTAATTAACAGACTGTGCAAATTTAGATTCAGTGAAAATAATGATGAAGATGAGCAACATCACTCTACAAAGTCTGAGACACAGTCTGTACACAGGCTGAGATGTGTCAATGATATAATGATCAAATACATTGACTTTGAATAACTGCATGCAACTCTGTGCTACATACAGTAATAGCAGCAACAAATAACATGTATTTGGCCCAATGGGTCCAACATGATAACATGGCTAAATATGGTGGACAATGGTAAAAAATAAAAGTAATTTTAAAGGGCAGAAGCCTGATAATATAGAATGCATGTATTTTATAACATTTTGTTTTTTAAACGGGTTTCAATGGGGACAATATGAAAGTCTGACTGTCTGTATTTTGGCTATGCAGTTAATATACTTAACATAGGAGATGAGGTTACACTTATATATTCTTAAAACAAACTCAAACCCATGCCAAAATGTATGCCAAATGCATCAAAAAATCCAAACTGATTGAACAATTTCCTAGTGTTGCATAAGGGTTACACATGGAGGGCCCAACATGTGTCTCAATTGTGCCTCAGGGTGGTTTCATTATCCTGCACTCTCACTGGAACAATATACCAAGTGTTTTCCTATGGATTGGTAGATGTTAAACTTTCACATGCAGCTATCTAACATGTGTTCCCAATCCTCTGACTCCATCTACCCACACCATGACAGTAAGAGCACCCCATCAAGCTTCACTTCCAAACAACCAGCACTCTATCACTTTCATCAGTAGTCTGATGTTATCTGAAATCCAATGAGTGCCTGTGTGAGGTGTAACAAGGACTAATAGCCAAGAGTGCACACTAGATTGATCACTAAATGTATCACAGCATGCACTCACAGAAGTTAACAGCTCCATGCATGTACACTGACTCACTCTTGTAGCTTGCATTCCAAGGCTGATATCCATAATAGCCGGTGATTCGCAGGATTCGCTCCTCTATGGACGCGCTGTTGATGTCCTCAACTGAGCGCGAGGACTTCAGGTCCTCTTTGATGGCCTCGTCCACCACCAGGTACTTTAGCTGTCTGAGCTGAGGGCTGATGTCCGAAAGCCTTCTGGGGCTCAAGTCGGGCGACTTGCGCATCCCGCTGGGAAAAGAGAACAGGGGGTGGTCGGTGTTATAAGACAAAAGTGAGAGCGTTTTTCAAAGGGGAAGGGAGCCTGTGAACCTTGAATGTGAGATGATAAGACAGGAGTTCTCATTGGATAAAGCCAGAATGTTGTTTGTTACACAGAGACCTGCGTAAAGGGCCCCTGCAGCTCCCCTCAGTCCAGAAATCTTCATCCTTCACTGGCCCTGTCTGTACAACAATGAATACACTAAACGACAGTGACTGCTCCTGCAACTGCACTGTGCAACTTTATAACAGGCTTTTGTGAATCTGAAACTAATGAATCTATCACCAGTGATTTGTAGAGACGGAGAGAGTTCCCTTGACAACTCCTGGCTTCATGCAACCATCACTGGAGCACAAACTGCGCACAGCCTAAACAGTACTGTTTTTTTTTAAATTCCTACTTGCTACTTTGTGTCCAGCAGGTGAAGTAAAACCGAGATAGAACGGTTTAATATTGCACTATTAAAGTTGTGTAATGCGATACACCTTACAAAGTAGCACACTGTTGACTAGAATGACTCCCAGCTGTTATGAAACCGTCAGCAAAACACGATTCATAACCCACTCAGAGAAAATCAGTTCGTAAAATGCCCCCCTGCTGCCATAGTCGAACGAATCATTGTCGTATTATCTTTTTTAGATGAACATCTGACTCACAACAATTACTATCAGCAAAAACTCCTCAAATGAAATAAAATATCATTCACATTCGCATAGAACACACTCTAGGCTATAGGCCTACTTGATGTTTATTTAGGGCACTTCTGCCATTTAAAGTACATTTAATTTTTAGCACCTATGACCCAAATGCGCCACAGGTGCTCCTGTCGTTGGGCTACAATGTGTAAAAGTTTAAATGTCTTACATGGGCATCAAAGTAGGAGGTCCAAGGTAGCACATACAGTCCCGGCGGGTCCGAGCGACCCGGTCCCACACCATGCTCTCTCCATCCCCATACATCCTCAAGGCCACTAAGAAGGCAGCTGCTGTGGTTCTAAATCCTCACCAAGGCAGGGAGACAAGTACCACCCTCCTGCTCATCCTCACCCCTACAAACATATGCCTGGCCACTACAGTAGAGTCTGTTTCAACCTCAAAAGGGTGCGCTGTGCTCTGGGTCCTGCAGGCATTGCAACAGCGCCATCTACCGGAGGAAATACTTTATTGATACAGATGTTGCACATTGAAAGGTAATTACATACAGACTACAACGTATGACAGTGTCAATAATTATAATGCTGGAAGGACATATCTATAGTCAACTATGATAAAATGGAAGAATATTATAGCTAAAACTCTGAGTTGTGTGCACAGTTTTGACAAATAAATGCAGCATTAATGCCAGGGTAAACCAGAATGCTTGAATTATTGCACAAAACTATTGTACTGTTGAGTCAGTATTGCACAGTCGGTGATATAAATGAATGATGGGCTTATAGCAGTTTATAGCTGGAAATGAGTACAAGGATCAGTCTACCAGATAGTTCCAATAGTAGTATACTCTTGAAACATGAGATACAACTGAATTTACTGTCCTTTTTGGATCCCACACAGATCCCTGCTGCCATATCTCTGAACGTATACTGACTCAGCTCTCTACCTTAGCTGATCTGTGAGGGTTTTTTATGGCTTTGTGACTCAAAAAGTCCATCAGTAGCCTGGAAAGCTCACATTAATACTTTACAAATTAGCTTTTTTCAGTCCTATTCCTCAGACTGTCCCATTCAGATTGGCACAGTAAGTCTCCCTGACTCAAGATGAATAAGAAACCACATAAACCTCACTTTGAAGGTGGAAGTAGGTGTTTTATTTTTAATCTGAGTGCCAATTATTTGTGGCTCAGAACACTGGAAAGGTGTTCTGGATGGTGTTCAAAAGACTATCAAGCAAAAAAAAGGGGAGACAGGGATTGGAATAAAAGGCAGAAAATGCTTATATAATATTAGTATTATAATTGCACAATTGCCTTGATAATATTAGTGACTGACCCCTGTTTACGTCTTGCGTCAGTGAAGCAGCCAAAATGCTCAAAGCAAAGACAGAAAGGTTGCTTTTTGGTGGATAACAAATCTGGAGTATCTCCGTTATCGTGCAGAATATCAAATAAATATTGACTACACAAACCCAGACTGTTTGAGATGTTTTGTAGTACAGCTGTGAAACATATCAGCGCTTTTACCAGAAAACCTTTTCAAGCAACTACATATTTTTCGACAATTCACAGTCTAGTGGGTTTCCCTTTGGTCTATTATTCATAGCATACTTCAAGCATTTCAAGATGATAGCAGGCTCTGCATTTCAGAGGTTTACAGTAGGTGTTTGAGGTAGCAAGGACACATGTAAGGTTGTTTCTGTTCAATAACACCAAATCAAAGACAATTACTGGTTGATTACATCCAATCAGAGCCATGCTTCCAGTAATAGGGTAATTATGTTCACTGCCGGTGATTGTATGTACTTGGCAATTAAAATCAAGTCAGCGTCTTTGTCTTGAGTATTCAGAAGTGTGAACTGTACAACAATAACATTACAAGTATGTTTTCACACTCTCATGTAGTGATGCAGTGATCTGACTTTGCCTGCCTGGTATGACCCTTCGATTTCAGGTCCAGTGTTAATGTATTCATTACGTCTAACTGTGTGGAAGTGACTAGGATCTTTATTTTAAATGCAAGGAAGGCCCTACTTAAACCTTGCTTTACTAACTTTGTCAAACAAAACTTAACCAAAAAAATACAGAGATATTCATTTAGTAAATTGTTGTTTACTAAAAAAAAAATACAATTGTACACCAGCAACTTGATAAAAGTATTTTAAGGAATTGTAATTCAGATGCAGCAAAAAGTTGGTCAAAACTACAAAAGGCATTACAATTCCATATAGTGCATAACGTATATAAACATATAATTTAATTGAATATATCCACCCCATATGGTTTAGCTATATTTCAGTCCCTATCGGTCCAATATCCCATATAATTTGAAATGCATACCCTCATGTTTAAAAACAAAGCATGACTCTTCATCTGATGAAGTTTAAGCTGACCTTCCTTTGCAAGTTTAGATGAACTTCTGTCCCTAGATAAACCTAAACAGACCATGCAGTAACCCTAATGAAAAGTGGAGCTTACCTTTCATGATTGCGGTAGTGTGGTCCAAAGGTCCCCGCTCTGTGGTCCCCAGGCTGCATTGCGTTTGCATTCTGTGCTCCTGACTGCAGACAGCAGCACAAGAACACTGACTGTTTTTTGTAGACAGGTTTTGCGTGGATCAATGACCAGCCACACCTTTCACGTCCAAGTATTAAATGGGAAGGGGGGGGGGGAGTCTATGCTTACTCAGGCAAAAAAAAGTGGAGTCAAGTCATCAATAAGCGGGTCAACACCTCCCATAGGCCGTCTTTGGGAGGAGAGGACCGGGTTCATGTTGCATTATGCACCTCTCAACTTCAGGGCAAAGCCAAATCAATTCTCACAGCTCGACCTTACCCACACTAAATAATGTGGACACTTTCCCTCTGAGACACAGCCCATGAATATCAAAACAGTTCATATTAAAGAAGTGCTGATATATCATTGCCATCCAGAACACCATCTTCCACTTCAGCAGTCCTCTAATAGTGATTTAATTGTTGCCCTAATCTACAGGGCACTGCACTCCTTTCTAAATATAGATCAGAGATAAAACAAGAGCCAAAGCTTTGGGGCAAAGAAACATAGAATGAACACAGTGAGCCTGATTCACACACAAGATACTGATAACAATCATAACTCACTGGCCAGTACTATTTGTTGACGTGATCGGTTTATTTTCATAAAAACAGGTCTAAAAGAGATGTATCATTTAGACTTTAAAAGTGCTGGTGAAACCAATAAGGTTAACAATGACTCAGGTCCATTAGTCATTCAAGTGAGTCAGCTACTGTATTAGTTACACCTACTGCAAGTTGTCATGCTAAGACCCGTCAACATTGCTGTTGAAAAACCAAACCAAACAGACTTTTCTCACAGCAGTTATGATGATCTATCAAACACTGGTGTAACAGTTAGGGCTGTGGTATTTGCCACTTGAACATAAAAGGTCCATTGGTAACACAATGTATTTAGCTACTGTGTGAATAAACTGTTTGATTTTACAATAGGTTACTTTCTTTGAGAACAAATTACATTACTTTTATGGTAACATTATGCCTCTGTTCGTTAAACACAATTATAGATTGTTATATGACCGGCAGTGACTCAGTCAGTAGGGGCTTGGACTGTGAGCCGTAGGGTCGCCGGTTCAATTCCCCGACCAGACCTAAAATATGGAGTGTGGACTGCTACTTGGAGAGGTCCCAGTTCACCTCCTGCCCTGCCGTGGTGCCCTTGAGCAAGGCACCGGACACCCCCCTTCCCCCCTCACACCCATTGCTCCCCGGGCGCTGTACAATAGCTGCCCACTGTTCCTAGTACCAGACTCCTGGTACTGGATGGGTTAAATGCAGAGAACAAATGTCACTGTGTGTGCTGTGTGCTCTGCATGTGTGACCATTAAAGAGGGTTTCATCCCTTATAATTCTAATGAATGAATCTATGTTTTCTTCCGGGTGATTGGTCATTTCTCCATGCATTCCAAACAATGACATTAGTATTAGGTACATTGCTAACAAACAACCTTGTGTTCAGGCAGTGGTGCACTTCTGACTCTTGTGGTCGAAAAAAGTATTACATCAACAAACACTTTTTTACATGGTGATAATAAGAGCAAACATTATCATGGCAATACATTTTGTTCAACTTGTTTTACTCGTATTTTTGGTTTCGACTAGAACGTGTTTATATAACAAAGTAAAACACATTATTTTCTCATACCGTCCATCAAAATTTGAGAGAGCTAGGAATGAGCCCAAAAGGTCGCCAAAAATGATATAAATGTAGGCGCATATTGCTTGTGATGGATTTAGCATTCTCTACTTACAAATGACTTCTCCACTGGTTTATTTACGTAAAACACAAGTCTCAAAGAAGGTCTAATATTATTAAAATCTGAAAGAAATCACACCAAAATACCAACAGCTTTTTCCTCAACACTTAATCCATATATCTCAAGAACATAAAGAGATTTTAATGAGCAAGTCTCCAGGTTTCTTGTGGTCATTGAACTCATTATAAAAACAGTGAAAAAGTGGAATTGAGATTGTATCATCCTTTATATCCCCTTGGCTCTTTTCATACTCATGTGTTATACATGTGCATATGAAACCAAAAAAAAAAAGTGTGTTTAAACTGAATTTTCATTCATTCTCTTACTCTCCTGCGTCCATCTTCAACAAATTGAAAAAAATAGGAATACTCTTTTTTTCTCACCTTTAATATTTAATGGATAGCTCAGCCTAGAAACAGTGTGACAGGCCATTGCTGATTGGCCAGTGCAGGAGGAACTCTAGACCAGTACAAAAGTCACATTCATACATTTTTATTTTAGACATTGGGAAACATTTTATATCTCATTACTCAGTGTTTGATTAGCGACATTTGCATATGCCAAAAATAAAGAGCAATTTGTTGTTATAATCCAGAGGCACACCTGTTCTTTTGTTGCTGTAGAATAAATGTTATTTCAGTCAGGGGGAAACATCACCTTTATGGAAATCGGCACCCTGTAGTTGTAGTCGCCAAAGGCCCCTGTGATTTCTTAAGGGTATATTTATTATTCAGCTGCCATTATTGGTAAGGTTGACACACAGCTGGAGGATAGCCAGAATCTCGGTGGATGAGAGGACCCGCTGATTCTATTATGTGTCAACATCTTGAACCTGCTCCAGTGAAAATAAAATTGGCATCTTATCTGTCATCATTCTTGGCCAGATGTAAGTGCCCTTAATTATCTTAGCCAATCTTAGATATTCCCTTTTTAGTTTTGCTGACGAATCAAAACAAGTGTCATGCATAGTACCTCCTCTGTTGCGCTGCTATTAAT